TAACAAAAGGAAAAACTTGGTAAATATAACAAAAACTAGAAGAGAAATTTAAAGGTATATTAATTTAAAGGTGTAACACAAATAGCTGTATTAAACAGAAAGCAGACACAGTTCAAAGAAACATCAAACATATCATAACGCTTGGAGATAGGTTAAAATTTTGTACTAAAAAATGAAGACCCTCAAATAAGAATTTTTAAAATATGGATATTTTTAATGATATTTTTAAAAAGACACATCATTCATTCACTTAACAAATATTTGAGGGCTTAATAGTACCAGACAGTCTTCTAAGTCCTGAGGATCTAGTCAGAAACAAATTATGAATGTAATTAGATATCAGGACAGCACAATGCTGGTGGAAGGTAAGGATAAAAGGCCTGGGGGGGGGGCCTGGCACGTTCTAGGAAAGGCAAGGGGAGGAGTATGGCTGAAGTATGCAAGTAAGGGAGAGGAGAAGTGAATTAGGAGATGGGGGCAGGGTGCTGAAAATTGCAGGGCCTTTGAATTTACCCTAAATGAGAAGGTGACTAAATGGAGAGCTATGAGCATGAGTGATGTGATCCAACTTCCTTTCTTTGGCAAGGTCATTCTGACTGCTATATTGAGAACAGACCGAAGGGCAGTAAGAGTGGAGGTAGACAGATCAATCAGAAAATTAATGTAATAATGTAGAAAAGAGATGGCAGTGGTTAGAACAGAATGGTAGCCCGGAAAATGGACTCCTCTGGACATATTTTGAGTGATTAGTTGACTAGGCTTATCAATTGTTTAAATGTGGAGAGAAAAAAAGGAGTCAAGGTGACCCTTAGTTGTTCTGCCAGCACATGGAAAGGATGCAGCTGACAGCGGAGATGCAAGCAGTAAGGGAAGAGCAGGAGTGGAGGAAGGTGGCTGGGAGCTCAGTTTGAGGTGTGTAAAATCTGAGGTGCTCTAAGTGGGGAAGGGAAAGTCAAAGAAATAGCCAGTCAGATATCTGAATGTAGATGGGACCAAACAAGACATGTAAACTAGACATGTAAATTATAGTGTCCGCTATAATGGTATGAAACTGAGTCAGATGCCCCAGTGCTGCCTCAGTGGCAGACTGAGAAGAGAAGCACAAAGAACTAAAGCCTGAGAGACATCACCATTCACAAAAGGAGAGGTAAGGAGGAATCTGCAAGAGAGATGAAGAAAGAACAGCCAAAAGTGAGAAGTCTGGAAAGATAGGGAGAAAAAGGAAGGGAAGGAACAGCTAGGCTTAATGCTGGGATAGACCAAGTAAGATAAGCATTGAGAATTGACCTGTATGTTGTGGGTTTAACAATGGGGAGGTCACTGCTGACCTTGACAAAGGTAGTCTGGTTGGGGAATAGGGGTGAAAGTCAAAAGGCAGAGTAGAAGAGAGGGAAGCAAGGAACTGGAGAAGGGAAACACAGAGAACTCTAAGCAGCTTTAAGAGCCAGTAGAAAACTGGGGAATCCTCACTAAATTTTGCCTGGCTGGCTTAGAACCACAATACTCCTGATATCCACCTCCTGAGTAGCTGAGATTATGGTATGCCTCACTATGCCCAGCCTTGTACCACTATTATTAAATATTCAATCACATGACTAAAAGCTATTAAATCTTAATCTTCTAGTATTGAATAGGTTCTTTCCTAAATTTTTAACATTAAAAAGCACTGTGGCAAAAACAAAAAATAGATGCTTGACTAGCATCTTTATTTGATAACAAGCATTTTTATTTGTGTGTATTTAGCCTATGTTTGTAATTAAGAAAAACAATTTTCTTCCTGGCACTGTTTGTAATGGCAAAAAATAAGGAACCTAAATAACTAACATATGGGTTTGGTAAAATAAATTATGGTACATAATGAAGAATTAGGTAGTCATTAAAAAGTATAGTGCAGACATACATGTACAGGTATGCAGGAGGAATGGCTTATGGGCAGTATGTTAAATGTTAAAGAAAGTACATGTTTCCCACATGCATAGTTAAGTTTCTAGAGGAATGAATAGATAACAGGATTTGTCAAAGGTTATTACCTCTGAGCAAATAGGATTTCTCATGCTTTTATGTTACTTTTTATGTTTTTTTTTCTGGCTTGTCAATATTTTCTGATTTTTTTCAGTGAGCATGAGTTCTTTTTGTAAAAGAGAAAAAACTAGTAAAGAGGTATTTTTGAAGAAAACATAAAAAACTCCCAGTTATTTTTCCTTTCTCAGATGTAACACTGTGACTTTATTTTCTCTATGAAACTCCTCCCTCCCCCACCAAAATAAAAAAAAAAAAACGAGAGAGAGAAAAAAAATCGTAACTGGCAGACTGTCTGTAGGTTATTTATGGTATGGAATCAGAAGATAATTCTCCCCCTGATCTAAATAACCAGAAATTCGATTATATTAAGACATCTCTTTGGACTTTTGAGTCTGCTTCTTATTGGGCCATAGTAAGTATACTTTCTATTCTTGATAAAAAGATGGATTTCTTTTACAAGTGAGAAGGATGCTGTCCCTCTAGAATAAGGCTGCATATGAAATATGTGAGAAGTTCACCTTTTGTAATGAAACCTAGTGAAAACAGAGCAAGAAAACTCTAGTGCCTTTGAGAGTACCCCAAAGCTTATGGGGTTCTAGAAGGAATAATAGTGTGAGTTTCAAGGCATAGGCAATCAGATCCAGTCCTAAAGGCATTTTTGTTTGGTTGTCCCACACAGTAAGTTGTAAATCTGGAACAGGAAACTTGAAATCATTAAGGTCACATATTTATAACATTGTATTCAATTAGGTTAGAAAAGTGCAATATCTGTCATCATGTCATAAAAAGATGTGTTTTCCTCTCAGATCTCTTATAAAGAAAAGCTCCCAATATTGTTATAGATAGGGCTGTTTTCAATCAGTTACAAGGAGCAATTCAATTACTAGATGGTTTAGTGCAGTAACTGACTCCAGACTAATTTAATTTCTTTAGGTCTCTAAAGATCAATTGATCTGATTTGTCCCATCCCCAAAGGCTGTTTAGGAAAAATTCAGACTTAAATACCTGGAAATGAAATCCAAAACCTTGGCCAGTTTCACACTACTTAGGTCATCTTGCAAACTTTCAGCTAGTCACATCAGAGTGCTCTTTTGGCCTTCAGACCACTGAAAGCTACTTACCTCATGTACATGTGAGTGTTCCCACATCAGGATGCTTATTCAATAAGTGGAAAATGTGGCCACGTGCATTATCAAATCTACCGTTCTAAAGAGCAGTCAGGCCGGTACTCCTATCTCATGGACACGTGTGCAACTGCAGGGCTATTTTTACTCTAGAAGCAGTTCATTAAGACCATTAAAAGTAATTTAGATGGGGTACAAACTGTTAGATGCAATGCTCATCTAATTAGTGTCTTGCATTTTTAGATTTATAAAGTACTTTCATAAATGTTGTCTTGCTTGATTCTCCAATAAACCTTTGAAGCGAGCAGTTATTGTCTCCATTTTCTAGACACAGAAACAGACTTCCAGGTTCAGCAACTTCCCCAGGATCACTCAGGTAAACCAGGTAAAGGCTAAGCTGCTCCTTACCCCATAACTTTTGCTCATGTTTACCCCTTTATCTGAGACAGGCGATAAGATGTTCACTTTGAAAACAACATCACTACTGCCCCAGAGTCACCGACTTCGTTCCTACTGGACATTGAAATAAAACTGAGGACAAGTTCTCTCAAATCATGTCAGCTGCACAGGCTCATCTGCATCAGTGAGCCTGGCGCTCAGAAAAAGGAAATGGAAAAGTCATGCCGGAAGGAAGTAGTCTTTGCCAGGAGACTCCTTTGTCATTCAGTCTGCTGTTACACATTCTCACTGACTCATGTCCCCTCTATTTGGAGAATCACCTACTTGATTCCCTGTGCATTTTGCAATGGATTTTCAACCAAAAGTCCAAGTGTCTTTCCCTGATCCAACCATTTGTGGAGCTCTCCAATGAATTAATTTCTTTTTGACTTAAGCCCTACAATTCCTGTCCTTCTGGCTTCTCTGCCTCCCCAGCCAGCATCTATATTCAGTCCCTCTAATCAAACCATCTCCCTATGCTCTGCCACTTGGGAAAGCTTAGGAAGAATCAGACAGAGGTTGCTAAAACTGTAATTATCCCTTAGTTTGAGCTGCCAAGACAGGTTTCCCAGAAGTGCTGAAGTAAAATGTGGCCATGTGGCAGGTAATACAGTGTGACAGAAATGTGTAGTAGTTGGAAGGGAAGTTACACAGAGATGTGGAAATATAATAAACTAGAAGGTTGGTAGCTAGAGTAACTCAACCTGTCAGTAAAAATAGCAGGCCTCATAAAAAGTTAGTGTGTTTAAGAAATACAAATAATCAGGTTGCAAATCTCTTTGAAAAACACTGACATTCACGCTAGGCAAACGACAGACCTCAATAGTTATTTATTACCCATCACCTAAATGGCCTCAAACTGCATGAACCATTTTAATTGAGAAGTGGGATAAGTTGCAGATACCTGATTTCACTTGTTCTTATAGGTCCTGAACCCTGATGCTTCTCCTATAAAGATAAGCAGTCTACTCTATAGGTAAAACAATGTGACCTTGCCTTCTTTCAAATACCAAATTACTCTTGCACTCTTTGTGTTAGCAAATATATCTACTTCAGAAGACAAAAGGCTATCAAGGTTCCATTTTCTGCAGTTTGTCACTCATTAAGACATGAAACTTAATAACATGTGATATCTAAGTCTTTGATTTAAAAAAAAAAAGCCATTTTTTTTACAGTGGAGTACATGTTCTGACCAAAGAAATCTCTTCACTCAGAAATGAGCATATGAGACTCAGCTGCAGCAGCTGTCAAGACTTAAGCAGCCACATATCTAGAGGGTTTATAGCTGGAGGGAAAGGGCACAGAGTTGGAGACTAGATGCAGTAAAGTTACAGTTCTTTGGCCTGCAGATGCATGCATTCTTACAAACTTACTCTTATCTGGACAAAAAAAAAAAGTAAACAAAATTCTCATTACCTCTCAATGTCAGTGAGCCTGGAGGAGTCCCGAAATCCTTTGGCAAAAGGATTGCTGTCTATTTTCAGCTTGGTTATCTGAAAAGGAAAGAATGGGTACAAAACAATCTCATTTCTGAGGTCAAGGAAGTAAAGTCAGAAATAGTTTGCTTATTTTCCATAGCACCCCAAGAATATCGTAATGTCTCTAAGCATCGTGAGAAGAGTTTTAAGTGCTACACAAGTACAAAGAAGGGAAGGAGAACAGCCAAGATAAACAAAAGTAGGTTTGGAGGGGAACTTTCAGGCAAGGGTAGACATGAACTGGGGTGTGAAATATTAACAGAGTAGTGAAATGCAAGGGCTTACATGGGAAAGAGGAACGACCTAAATGTGAGAGCTGGCCAGAAGTCCCACACTGATGGAGAGTAAGGAATAAAAGCAAGATGCTGTCTCATTCTGACTTGGCAACTTCTCACAGTTAATTGCTATAAGTAATAATAATTATATATATATATATATCATAATAGATAAAAAGATTAGGTGGGCAATAATTGCTACATGTTCCCTATTATATTAATATTAATACACATGACATAAAACCAGGATATAAAGCCTTCAGAATATAAAGTTATACCCATTCCCCTTTTCATTTGACTAAATTAGAGTCAGATTAGTCCCTCTTTTGTCATCCTTCCATACAGTTTTATTTATAGTACTATATGCTTATATAGAAACAAATACTTTCTAACGAGAACCACAGTCTTGAGTATTAAGTGTCTGTGCCAGGGTACTTGTAGTTCTTATCATATTAATATTAATGTATAAATCCATTAAACTTTGGGTACGATGCCTTTAGAGCAAAATAAATTAGAATGTAGAGCAAAAAATAAAGGAAACACTGATTAAAAGATACCCAAAATGGAAAATCCCTGTTAAAACTGAAAGGAACCTTAGAAATCAGCAAGCCCATGCCCTCATCTAACAGATGGTCATACTAAGACACAAAGAGAGTAAGAACCAAGACATTGCTAGTCAGAATTAAATTACAACAAATGAAAACTTTCTAGAGTGTCATAGTGTGTTAATCGCATTAATCTTTAAAGGAGACACATACAAAATATTCTCTCCCCCTCTCCCTCTCCTTCTCCAGCGCCCTCTTTCTCTCCTTTTGGCAGAACTAGAATTCAGAACCTCATGTTTGCTAGGCAAGAGATCTACCATTTGAGCCTTGCGCACAGTTCTTTTGCTTTTTAAGGTTTTTTTTCAGATAGAGTCTTGTGCTGTTTTTGCCCAGGGCAGGCCTTGGACCACAATCCTCCTTCCTCTGTTTTCCAAGTAGCTGGAACCACAGGCATATGCCACCAGCCAGCACTGTTTTTGAGATAGGGTCTTTCTAACTTTTTTCCCAGATTATCCTGGAACCACAATCTTCCTATCTCCACCTCCCAAGTAGCTGGGATACAAGTATGTACCATCACATACCCAGCACAAAATATTCTTAACAGGGGAAAAAAAGTTATGGATTGAAGCATGCCCTTTTCTTTCCACATAAGGAGCAAACAATTAAAATATACAGTTTGAAATACTACTTTGCCAAAAAGGAACTATTTATTTTAAACTATAACACCTAAAGAATTTTTTCACTATAAAAGAAAGATGCCTTTTTTCTTTTTCAAGTTTTCTTAATGTGAGCTAAACTTACAAAGCTCCAAAGAAGCATTTCACCACCTTTAAAATGGAAACCCCTCCCCCACAATCCCACCAAACTCACTGCTCTTCTTTTATCAGTGACACTAGCAAACCCTGCGATGGACTGATAATATCAACCTTTAAGGACATTTGAAACTGTCTTAGAAATGCTGACCATTAATCTATGAGCATTCACTGTGTAGAGCAGCTAAAGAAAATGACGAATTTCCTTTTCGGCCTAGTTATGGAAAGTGGTAAGGAGGGAAGGAAATAAACCAGACAAATAAGAAACCTGTTTGCAAGGGTGAGCAACAAGTACATCAGGAAGGTCTGAGGTGGCCTCTACAAAGTACCCATCCACAGTTTCTAGGGACCTTTTTCTCACAGGGCTGCCACTTTCTGAAGAGTTGACTGTCTCAGCCATTCATTCAGCTAGGACTTATTTTGAAGATTGTAAGTACCAAGAAGATTTTAAAGACTTTAAGGACAAGAGCTTTGTCTCTTTCTACTGAATAATTATAACTTAAAATATTTCCTAGTTCTAAAGTACTTTATAGTTCATGATACAGCTTTCATAATAATTCATCAACAACTTTATGTTTATTGCGGCACTATTCACAATAGCCAAGTTATGGAAACAGCCAAGATGCCCCACCACTGACGAATGGATTAAGAAAATGTGGTATCTATACACAATGGAATTTTATGCAGCCATGAAGAAGAACGAAATGTTATCATTTGCTGGTAAATGGATGGAATTGGAGAACATCATTCTGAGTGAGGTTAGCCTGCCCAAAAGACCAAAAATCGTATGTTCTCCCTCATATGCGGACATTAGATCAAGGGCAAACACAACAAGGAGATTGAACTTTGATCACAAGATATAAGTGAGAGCACACAAGGGAGATATGAGGATAGGTAAGACACCTAAAAAATTAGTTAGCATTTGTTGCCCTCAACACAGAGAAACTAAAGCAGATACCTTAAAAGCAACTGAGGCCAATAGGAGAAAGGGACCAGGAACTAGAGAAAAGGTTAGATCAAGAAGAATTAACCTAGAAGGTAACACACATGCACATGAAATTAATGTGAGTCAACTCCCTGTATAGCTATCCTTATCTCAACCAGCAAAAACCCTTGTTCCTTCCTATTATTGCTTATACCCTCTCTTCAACAAAATTAGGGATAAGGGCAAAATAGTTTCTGCCGGGTATTGAGGGGGTAGGAAGGAGAGGGAAGGGGTGGGGTGGGGAATAAGGGAGGGGGTGGGGGCAGGGGGGAGAAATGACCCAAGCATTGTATGCATATATGAATAATAAATAAATAAATAAATAAATAAAAAACAAAAAACAACTTTAATGAGGATTGATTACCTTGTACATGCACTGTGCTGGATGTTGGATAATACAAAAATAAAGAACACAGGGCCTATATTCTAATGGAGCCTAAAATCCCATGGAGTACCATGAACAGAACAGGAAAGTAGCACCAAGTGCAGCCACTGCAAGGTTAGTAACATTAAAGGGCAACTCAAACCCTATTGAAACCTTCAAACTCAAACTATGGGATATAACAACATAGAAAATCTTCCTTCAAGTAGTACATTTATAAAATTGAAAAGTAATGACTTGGCCAATAGTTAAAATTTTCTGGAGATAATAGCAGATAACATATCTGATAAGAAAGCTAATATTCAAAGAAGTTCTTTTATGGCCATCCCTCTTAAATGTAAACCATACCAAGCTTTATTTGGGCCTTATCAACTGAAAGGATGATGGGATTTTGAAATCTGTATTTGTTGTTGTTCAAGTTTACAAAAGGCAAAGATTAATGTGATGAGTATGGAGTTATATTAAATCCTTCAGTGTCCTGATACCACATAGAGAAAGCATACTGTTCAATGTGTCACAAGTCTAATATTACTGCCATAATTTTGACCAAGGAAGTGAGTTAAACACACCCTAGTTTTCAGATTTGAGTTTTCTTTCATTATTAAAATTATCTACATCTGCTATCTTTTAAACCTTACTTTCATAGTCCCAAGAAGTACCAATGGTAGCTTTTATTTCTTTACATTTCAATATAATTTCAAACTTCAGAAAAGTTGCAAGAATAGTACATGGTGCTCTGTACACCCAGATTTACTAATTAGGCACAACAATTATTTAATTTTAGACTATTCATTAGAAAAGGAACATAAGACAATTATCAGGTACTTACTTTCCCTATGGACCACTTTATCTAATTTCAGAGAAAATAACTACTTTGGGAAGTTAGAGGGGAAAGTGAGTCTCACTAAGATTGCATGGGATCTCTGAGTAGATGTCCATTCCTGAGCTGTCTTGCAGACTGCACAGGGACTATGTGTTAAGCATCAAAGTGAGCCTACCAGACTTTGAATTGACCCAGGCATCCACAATGACTAACCCACCAGCATTGGCTGAGCTTTACTTTAAGAACAAGCGGCCAAAAATATGACTTCATCTTTCTGTCAGTTACAGACCAAGTGAAACTATAAGTTTACTTAAAAAGGATTTTATTTTGCTTTCTAATTTTATGGTAAAATTATTTAAGAAAGCAAACTTTTAACACACTAGGTTAATCACATACATTAAAAGGTCAGGCATGAATTTCATGATATTTAAATAAAAACTGGCAGCAATTAGAAAGAAGTTGACTTCTAAAGGTATATTTGACATCTCTTAATGAAATCTGGGAAATCTGAAAAGTAGCACGCTTGAGAACTGATCAGACAAAGTAGCTGAATTGCAGACAGTGACTGCAGGTGAATGTCAGTTCGCTGCTGCTCTAACATACCACACCTGTAGCTTGTAATGCTACCTTACGTTACGCTTGTCAAAGGTAATACTAAAAAAAGTACTGAAAAAGAATCAACCACCAAATATCATTTGTTGAGAAATTGAAGGTATGGCTTCTTATCATTTGAAAATAATTTTTAACCATTTATAATTCCAGCACTCAAGAAACTGAGACGGGAAGATCAGGAGTTTGAGGCCAGCTGGGCTACATAGCAAGACCCTGCCCCAAAAAAAAAACAAAATAAAAAGAGAGAGAAAGAGAATTAAAAGCAGCAAAGAAAAAATATTAACAAAGAAGAACAGTAGAATGAGCTTAAGAAATCCTGCACTTGAGTGTTTCAAAATATATTCAAATTACTACTAATTCAGGCTAAAATACAGCTGTGTTTTTTCATGCACAATTGCAATAATATAGAATGTCATGCATTCCTAGTCAGAAAATTCACTTTTTTAACATCTCTATTATCTGTAAATAAATACATACATGATTGGAAGGCAATTTTGACACCACCAGTTGTGCTGAAGAAAAGTGAGCTTCTACAGCCATTCTTATTTCCCGTGAATATCCTGGACTCTGAACCCAGCTGGGGTTCCCAGCCACAAGGTTAAATTGGCCCTCAGAGACCATTTCTCCAATTATCAGAAAAAGATCTGACCAAAGGCATTTAAAAATGAAACCTGACCTACACTTCAACTCTACAGCAATGATCTGCCTGCTCAAAAACAATGCATGACCTTTAAATCTTAAATTATGAAATAGTTTGTTGAAAGTGTAATGTATTTAGCTTTTATCTAATAATGTAAAGAAATGCAATCATCCTCTTGCAAAAAGCAGAGAAAGAAGTAGCAAAAAAAAGCATTTTTATTGCTTATAAATAAATAAATTGCCATAATAAAGTATTTTTCACAAATTCTATTGGAAACTTTGATTTGAATTTTAATACACATAAAAATAACAGTCCTAGCCAAAATGACCTAAATATGAAAGTGGCCCTAAATATGAACTTTTAAATCCTCCCCTCTTTTCCTTTTGTTCTTTGTGTATGGAAAAAATTCTAACATTTATACTATATATAGTTTATATTTACTTTGCTTATATCTTACATATATTTATTTTATTACATGTTTACTTCAGGAAAACTAATACACAAATAGTATAATGATTAAAAAAAAAAAACAACCAAACAAACAGAGCAATCAATGGTAGGAAGGCCAGGAAGAATTAAGAGTGAGTTCAAAAAATAGTATAGACCTAATAAAAATGCTCCCACACTGGTTTATTCATTATGCATATTTTTGAGCATCTGCTATATGAGTTTTGATTCAGCTTGTGGGATTATAAACCATTTACAAAACTGGCCTGTTAGTATGCCAAACCAAATTTATATATGGTTTTATGCTAAGGACTATGGTTTTAAAGGTAGATATAGAGACAAACTCAGACATAGAGGGGTCTCTGGGAAATTAATTATGAATGTAGTTGCTTCTATTATGGGTTATTCAATGAGATGACATGCTAATCATATTACTCTTTATGAAGAATAGCTGCATTCTTGTGGCTGGATTTTGAGCCCATTTATAATAGCAATTAGAAATAAACATTAGTAAGAGAAGCAATTAGGGTTGCAAGATGTATTAATTTGTATCTTAATCTATTTTAATTTACCAACATTTTCAATTTCAGCTATCAAACCTTTGACACTGGCAGTAGTTACTTCCTCGACCTTGCAATCTATCTTGATGCCACCAAAAAGAAAGAAATAATATCTAGAAAATCAAAACCATGCCATTGGTCTGTCGTATATCAAGTCTGTGGCCTTGGGTGGAGTATCTTATCCACTTTGAACCTCAGTTTCTTCATCTAGAAAATGGCACTCATAGGGCTTCCTTTGGATATTAGCATCAGAATCAAATAAGATTATTAAGAAACAATATGGAATAAAAGTAATAAATCCAAACCATGGACTTTAGGTGAATTCAAGTATAGAGAAAGAACGAAAGGTAACAAATAAAAAACATTGTAGGCCCATTGTAAAATTGCTAATTAAACTAAATATCACCTGATCTTAAGGAATAATTCTAATTAACTTTCTTAGCTGCTATAAAGACATTATGGTTACAAAAATAATATCCTTACTGTTGGGATCTGCTTGTCGAAGTCCTTAGAAGTGAAGCGTCATGACGCATGCACCTTAGTCTCAAATGACTAAGGGGAGAGAAAAGTATGCATACACACAGAGAGAGGGAAGACGAGAGGTGAAGCAAATAAGGCAAAATGTTGATTGTTGAATATAAGTGGAGGGTATATGGGTTCATTTTACCATTTGCTTTATTTTTTGTACATTTGAAATTTTTTCCTCTTTATAGAGATTTCTGATAAAAGCACTGAAATTTCCATACAATAAGTTTTTACTTCATTCTAAACATCAACAGAGTTTCTTGGATTTTTATAAATTCAGTATCTATATTAGAAAAGTTATTAATTCAGTTAATATAAAATGAATTAACTGTTTCAGGAATCTTTTCTAAACTGTAACATCTGCAATCTGTGTGCCTTTAAATAAAAATGGGACCGTTGGTTTCAATGTTCCAGATCTCCAGGGAAACAGCATTAGGGCTGTAGGCTTTTGTGAACTTAAGTCTATGCACAAAGTTTCAGCTTGGGCATTCCCTCAAAGTTTCTCTCCCATGTTTTCATTGTGGAGATAGTTCAAAAGCTACAACACTTTACTTTTCAATAACATGATTTGCATAGTAACATCTATTTATTGACATAAAAAAACACACCACTAAAAATTTAAACTCTAAATGGTGACAAATTCTCTTTTGACATTCCAGAGATAGCCCAACCTTAGAGTTTCCAAAGCCATGTTTACTCATGACATCACATTTAATCTTCACCATTATACCCGAAGATGGCCTGGTCAATTCTTAACCTAGTTTACCAGAAAGGCAAATGGCAGTCACAGTGGTGAAATATTTCGAAATCTTCTCAAAGTTCTACAGAAACTATAGGTGCTTAAGCTTTATGCATCCACATCCCTTCTCTGGGCTTCTACTTCATTTGCATAGGGCTACCTATGCTCTCAACTTCATCTGGCTTTCCTGAGACACAACACGGTAACTCCTCTGCTGGCCATCCCATGATGAACCCTGAGCCAGCTATCAGGCAGCACCTAATGGTTATTCACTCAAAACCGAAAATACAACAACATGACAACAAAAGCAGAGCAATCACCCTGGCTACCTACAACTAATCAAATAAAAGAAAGACATGAAGTCCTAGAGAGACTTAATGAATTTGTTAAATAAGCTGAGATTGTGAGTTTCTTTTACTGAAGTATAGCAAAAGGAATTCTACTTCTGTTTTTTCCTCACTGTAGAAAAGTTACCCGTTCTCTCTTGGCTTCCTCACCTACAAAGTGGTACTATTACTATAAATCCTTCAAGCTTCTGCTGACCACAAAAGAAGAAAATGTATCGACAAGTATCTAATAATACTAACCCCTTAGTGGGACCTTGATAAATATTTATGAAGTTAGACTAAATCTCCTCTGTGAAAACCATGCATACATTTGTACAACAAAGAACAGAAAATGTATAACCCAAGATTATAAACTGAATATCTTGATGTAAATTAAATACACAGTTGTAGTTTATTATCTAAAGGGACACTTATGATCATTTTAATAGAATTATCATAAATTACAACTGAATATGCTTCACAAAATATCTAAAGTATCAGTAGTTTGGGTAGTTGTCTAGAAAATGTATAATTCTATGAAGCAATGAGAATATGGCTCTGCATGTTACCAGGAGGAGGAAAAGGCAACAGGAAATTTTCTGGAGGAGAAACTTTGAGAAGACAGATTGGGGCAGGTTTGAGTCAAGAAGTGGGTACCAGTACCTCACAACCTGACCTTGAGTATAAAGACCATAGAAAATAAAACAGTGTATTAGAGGGTAACTCAATATACTCTTGGATGTCCTGGGGATGATATTCTACAGCTCTCTCTTCTGAGAACATCCGTTTTGAGTATAGGATGTCCTTTCTCTTCAGGAAAATGTAAGAACCTCCTATGTCCCTATGTTGTGCAGGAACTGGGAATGAATTGCACACTCACCAGTTGATTCTGGTAGGCTGTGACTGCCGTGAAAACTGTCTCTGGAAAGACGAACGTTCTGAACTCTTCAGACTTCAGATTGAGTAATGAGGCTGTGTGGTCTTTCTTCTTAATGATGTGCACCCGTGGCTGGTACTTATGCATTGAGTTCAAAATTATCTACAGTGAAGAGATGAGGAGTCCTCAATGTACATGGTCACTCTACTGAACAGGCCAAAGTATAGTGAGGCAAAGCAAGAACCACAAAATCTTCAACTTCAGTTCAGTTTGAAGGTTAGGACCCACCCTTTCCATTCTTCTGGCAAATCATTTTCATTGAATACTACAGACTCAGTGTTGTGAATCACATTTTACCAAAACAACTGCAAATAATACAGATTGTTTCAAGGGTCCTTTCTGAAATGGGTTGGGGTGGGAGGAGAAGAATCATCAGGAGGATAAGTTTTCTTTATTTTCTAAAATCAAGTCTTTAAAATGTTTTTTTCTTTTTTGTTAGTCTAGTTAGGCCAAAAAATGTAGGTCTAAATTTTCTAAAATAAAAAATTTATAACATTCTAGGCAGCCATATTGCTGTTTATGGAGAATAAAAATGATTTAGAAAGGCAGTGTTGTATCAGATAGACAAGGTTAAATCCCAAATCTGTAATCAAGTAATCTATTTGATTACTCTTTAATCTTGAGCCAACTGTTGGTTTTCTCAAGTGCAAGACCAGTACCAACCTCATAGGGCTGTAGTGAGAATTACAGGATATAACTCTTGTAAGGCACACATGAAACAGGACGTGACCGGTAAATATGTGAATTACATTATCGTTATGTCTTATGACAACTTCTTTGATTCATACAGTTATAAAACTAAACCTGAATCACAATGATGGCCATCTTCCATTCTATAGCTAATACATTTGCCAAATTCTTAGATTCTGCAAGTATACTCTGGTTAACATGGCAGCTAAGAGATAGTATTTTTCATTTATCTTTTAAATATCAAAATTTCCCATTATGAAATCTGAGCAACAAAAGTAACTTTTAGGTTTAAAAATGTTCCCACATCTTCCCCAGTGCTATGAAGACAGAGACTTAAGTCCTTGGTCTTTCCAGGACTGGGAGCTCACATTGTATGCTCTTCTTCAACCAGCAGAGAGCCTGGTTCTCAGGCAACATTCCATAGCCAGCAGGGTGGCAGAACCACTGATGGTGTCTTAAATGGATGAACTGGATGAGTGTTTCTGTTGATTGGTTTAACAGATTAAGTACTGGTTACTGTGAGATAATTGATACAGTGCACATTTGTATCTGTGTTTTGTACCTCTGCATATTTGACCAACCTCAGATCAAATTTTTTTTTAAAAATTGCATCTGTACTGAATATGTAGACTATTTTTCTTGACATTGTACCCTAAGCAATGCAGTATAACAACCATTTATATAACACTTACATTGGGTAAGGTGCTATGAGTAATCTAGAAGTGATTTATAGGATACAGGAGGTTATATGCAAATATGGTTCCACTTTATATAAGGGATGCAAGCATCTCTGAATTTCACCATCCACAGGGTATCCTGTAACCAAAACCCCACGGATGTGGAGGGAACAACTAAATAACCAATATCTCACTGCCTACCTCTTTAACCTGTATCACAACCTAAAGTTAAAGAGGGGACTAGACTTTGCACCTGCCACTTTTTATGATTCCATCCTAGAATAGCAACAACTTAAAGAAGTGAGCTATTCAAATGAATCAAAATAAACTTTTAAAATACAAGTTTACCTCTTTGTATAATGCATTTATTCCAAGGAGTTCAAGATATTGATTCTTAATCACAAATCTGAAATAAACTTGAAGCAACAAAAGCAAGCATTTGTCTCCTAATGCCAGTATAAGAAAAGAACTTCAACATTCCTTATAGGTTCTACTAAGAAGAATAATTTTCAAATCCTATATCCACCCAACCCTCACATACACATACCAAAATGAAACAACTCTAAGCCTTAAACTTGGCAAAACAGGCCTGGAGGTATGGCTCAAGCTATAAAACACCTGTTTTGCAAGTGGAAGCCCTGAGTTCAAACTCCTGTCCCACCAAAAAGAAAAAGCCAAAAAAAAAAAAAAACGGTCTAAAGTTGGCAAACAGTACAGCTATAATCCCAGCTTCAAGGGAGATAAAATGAGAGAATCCAGGTATGAAGCTGGCTAGGGCAAAAACCTGAGATCTTATCTGAAAAATAACTAAAGCAAGGTCGGGGAAGAGTGGCTCAAGTGTGGAGTACTTGCCTAGTAAGTACAAGGGCTTGAGTTCAAATCCTAGTACTGCCAAAAATAAAACAAACAAAAAAGTACAGTATTTAAAAATATTTCCTCATAGTTTTCAGAACACATTCATTTTTGTGATAAATGGTTATATTAAGTCAGAAAAGTTTTCAAGTTAAAATGGATATAAGAACCATATAAGACTAAATAATCTGTCAATATCTAATGATGGCATGATCAGGCTAAAAGCCAGAGCTCCTACAGTGCAGTTTAGTGCTATTCCTACTCATAAAGCTGATGATGAAAGAAAAACATTTAAATTCTGAATAGCTCATCTCAAAATGAATCCCAAGTCTTTCTGGAAAGACCCAAATAATACTTCTAAAACCTTCTCATATGGAAAATACCAGAACCACAAAATAATTTTTCTCCCTTGCAAAGATTTCAATTGGAGCCCAAAATATTTTACTATGAATTACATTAAGAATGATCACTGACCTTCAAAAACTATCACTCAGATATCTCATAAATTTTAACCTGAAAAATCTTTAGAGGAGAAGCATCTTAAAAATTAAAAAAAGAAAAAAAATGATGGAAATTATGCCAATATCCAAAAAGGTCAATTATCTTTTCTAATAGGTAAAATAAAAACTTATTAACCTACTGCCAACATCTCAACAGTGCCCCAATAGTCATAAGTTACCCTGGTTACTTTGATATGGCTATCATAATAAAGTCCTTGTGGTAAATGGATGGCCCTTAGGCCTGAAGTGATTTGTTTGGTTTCAGGATCAACCCAACCATTTGAAACCATATCTAGAACTCTCTAATTCATTAGCTATGTAAAGCCATCTTCTCAGAGAAAGATTTTGAAATACTTCCTCCAAATTACACAGATTCAGTAAAACTAAAACCTTAAGTAACATGAGCCTTGCTTAAACAGGGTATGAGAGAGAATAATTATACCAAAATATCTAAGCCTAAGAAAGAAACTATGAAAATACCCATAGTTTCTGACAATGGAGGCAAAAATAAATATTCTACTCATCAAAAGGAATTTTGTGGTCTATACAAAGTTTTCTTATAGCATTAAATCTGAAACAGAATTTATATGTAAAATTTTATTTGAGTATTAAGTCACATCACAGATAACACTTTTAAAAGGAAATTTTTGAGGAGAGGGAGTTCTGTGGGAGGAGAAGGGGAAATGGAGAGGGTTCCCCCAGTAAAGAAGATCAAATTATGTTTCTTATGTATGTTTGGAGATAGCATAAAGAAACTCAACAAATACTGTTTTAAAATTAGAGATAAGGGCAAAATAGTTTCTGCTGGGTATCCAGGGGGTGGGGGGGAGAGGGAGGGGGCGGAGTGGGTGGTAAGGGAGGGGGTGGGGGCGGGGGGAGAAATGACCCAAGCATTGTATGCACATATGAATAATAAAAAAATAAAAATTAAAAAAAACAAAAAACAAACAAATACTGTTTTTAAAAGGGAGAGGGGCTAAGGGAATATTATAGAGGGAGTGAATTTGCTCTAAATACACTGCAGGCATATATGGAATTTTCACATGAAAGCCCCTTGTACTATTAATGAATACAAAATTAAACAATAATAATAAAATAATTTTAGCAAATCTGAAAGGGCCTCCAGTAATGGCTATTGGTCTACTAACTATTGTTAAGAGCTCAGAATTTTGTCATTTCTCTTTCTTTTACATTTTTATGAACTCTTTGTTTATGCAAAAATCAAACATTTTTTTTTTTTTTGCTTATTTGTTTTATTTTGTTTTGTGGTATTAGGAATTGAACCCAGGGCCTCATGCTTGCTAGGAAAGTGCTCTACCACTGAGCCACACCCTAATCCCTGCTTTGGTTTTAACTACAGGTATTCTCTGTTTTAACATTTGTCAGCAAAGGTGGTAAAGCAGTTGCAGAAGTATTGGGAAAGTCATGGCAAGAAGACCCCCTGACTCTCCCTCATGGAAGTGGCAAACAGAGTCCCTGTAAATGACATCTTGACAATAGCAGTCAAGGGTTCCTGAAGAACACAGGGATGGTGCATACAATAGTTCAGAGACATAAAAGAGGAAGTGGATAAAGAAAGGGGAAAGCAACTCAGAGAAAGGGCGTTTTGTGTGACTGGTACACTGCGTCCAGGGGACCTGCACAGTCCAAAGCATTATACTCACATGGCCATGCTGATCCAGCTCATTGTTAGTGAGTTTCACCTTTTCAAAAGATACCATCTGTTTCAATAGCTGCTCACCAGTAAAGGGAGAGTCTGGGTGCACGTAGAGCCTAAGAAAAGTATGAGAGAGCTTTATTGAGACACCTTTTAAAATCTGATTTGAGTCATGATTGGTGTCACACCTGTAATCCCAACACTCAGTAGGCTGAGGGAGGAGGATCAAGATTTCAAAGTCAGCCTGGGCTAGAGGGAGAGACCATGTCTCAAAAAACAAACAAATCTGTCTTTGTGGGTTATAAAATGTTCTGATTCTAAAGGAACACAAAAATGTCATATAAGTGACCCATTTGTTTGCTCCACACACCTCAAAATTTTAATACAACAATACCAAAATAACTCTAAAACATCTCATGTATTTTTTTCACATGTCAATGATCTAAATTTATACTTAGTAAATTTTCCATTAACTGCTGTGCAAGCCATTTTTTAAAAGATGGGTTGTTTTTTCACCTAAGTCAGCTATGTCTGCATCTATCAAATACAGAATCTTACTGTTGTGGTATTTTCAAAAGAGAGATGCTTGTATAATCATCACTAAAGAGCACTGGAAACAATTTTAGGGAATCCATTTATTTAAACCTAAAATGACTCCATTTAAAGTTTGTGTCCTTTGCAAATACAGAACAAAGCAATAATACAGGGGCATGGAGAATGTTTCATAGTCCACAGATCAGACTGAGAGTCATTCCTCCTACTTCAAATGCTACCATATACTTTCATCATTTGTTTACATGCTCTCCAAATGAGAGTTTAAACAATCTGGATAAGCTCTGAAGTATTCAATTGATTCATTTCTAAACAGCTTAAGAAAAAAAAAAACTTTGTCATTTATTGACCAGTTGCTACGTGCAAGGCAATATTCACAGCACAATTCACTAAACCTATGACTGTTACAGTTAGCTCTAACTCCCAGTCCCGGCACCATCTTTCCAAAATCAGGTTGAGATGACAAAACTAATGAGGGGCAAAATGAAATCCTTGTTTGTTTGTTGTTGTTTTGTGCTGCATTAGGGGTTGAACCCAGGGCCTTGCATATGGTAGCAACGGCTGGCTCTGCCTCTTGAGGTAGCAAAGGCTCAGCCCCTTTTTAATAAATGTTTTATTCTTGAGCCAGATCTTGCTGCTAGCTTTGTCAAGGCAGGTCGGCCTCAAACACATAATCCCCCTGACTCCTGGGTAGCTGGAATTACAGGCATATAACATCACACCTGATTTGAAATCCGTATTTCAATGGGACAATTCCCTCCTCCCCTGCTTTTTTTCATTGGTCCTAGGGATTGAACTCAAGATCTGGCACATACTAAACATGCTCTCTACAACTGAATTACATTCCTGGCCCTGACAAAGTCCTTTACCCATATAACAGTGTGTGTGTGTACCTTATAACTATAATTAAACATAAATATTTCTTGCTTTATACAAAGCAAAAAAAAGTTACAAAAATCTTTCCTAGCAATATTCATGTAAAGAAAAAGAAGTCTGTGTCATGATATATTACACAAGGAGAATCCTTTATCTGGGCTGAAACTCACAAAACCCACCAGGAAAAAAGCACAGAAAAAGTGACAGCACCAAAGATTCTTACCAGATGCACAGAAGAACTTAAAAGACCTTGGGAGTTTGTCTGTTTGATGGTTTTTAGGAGGGGTGCTCATAACTGCCTTTCAATTAGTGTTCTTTGATGGCACGAACATGATAGCATTTCAAGTTTTACCTTTTTGTAGGTGCAGTTATTTTGTTGATAAGTATCACATCGTACTTCCCCCTCAAAAAGGCCTATAGGTGATGAAATGTTTCCTCTTGGTCACATTGACTATATGTAATCACATTGACACAAATACTTTGATATTCAAATAAAAATGTTTTATTTCTTTTGAATAGAAATGACTGACCGCTGAACGCCAATGGCTCACACCTATAATCCTAGCTACTCAGGAGGCAGGGATCAAGAGGATCTTGGCTCAAAGGCAGCCTCAGCAAATAGTTCCTGAGACCCTATCTCAGAAAAGTAAACCTTCACAGAAAAGGGCTATGGAGTGGCTCATGGTGTAGACCCAGAGTTCAAACCCCAGAACCACACAAAAAAAAAAAAGAAGACAGAAAGAAAAAGAAATGATTTGACCAATGAAGTTCAGTTTGAGATAAAGTACTTCAAAGACCCAGAACCACTAGGAATTTCTACCACCAGGGGAAAAATTCTTACTTCCCAAGTTCTTCCCCTTTCCTTAATGGAGGTAGAAAATATAGCAGACTATTTCTTTTAGTCGTGGTAATAATTCCTAGTGAGCATGAAACTCTGAGTTCAATTCCCAGCACTGTAAATAATAATAAAGAATAGTTACTTGAATTATCTAGAATACTTCTATTCCATAATGCACTGCACATTTTAATCTAATATTAATATAAATAAGCTCAAGTGGAACAAATGGGAAAAAAACCATACAGGAAGCAAGCCCCTCTGCTCCCCAGTTGCCCCCACCCTGGACTTAAAATTCCAGCAATAGCTTAAGCATGTTTCAGTTAAGATAGTGTATTGGTACTCGCTTTCTTCCTCTCACCAGAACAGATTAGTAACATAAACAAGACATGTCATATTTCCAAAGTCCTGTTGGTCTGCACCATTTCCCCCATACCTTCAGATAGGAAGAAAATGTATGTGAAATAAGAGTAATTAACTTCTTAGAGGAAGACTGGGAAAATAAAAACATTTGCTTATAAAAAATAATTACAAATCTGCTAAAAATAAATTCCATCTTTTCTCTCTCTCTCTCTCTCTTCTGTCAAAATAGTATTGAAAAGTTTGGGAGCCACAAATGGTGGCACATGCCTGTATCCAGCACTGTGAGGATGAAACTAGAGGATCCGAAGTTTGAGTCTGGTGCCTGAGCTACATAGTGAGACCCTGTCTCAGAAAATTTTTATACAAAATGTTTGGAAGGAAGCTCAAGAGTAAGAGTAAACTGGCTGTTAAGTAGTAAATAGTACAGAACACTAATTATATCAATCTTAATATCTATTGCAAGCTGGTACCTTTTCCTCAATTAAAAACAAGTTGTAATCTTTAAAGTATTTCTTACATTTCATGTAAATGAATATTAACTTGCTGAATTACATTCAGCCATTAAAAATGTGGAGGGAAAAAAGTTGCTTTTCTCACTTAAAAATCGCTGATCCCTTTCCTGGCTAAAAACAAACAAATTTTACTTAAATAATGTTTGTCATGTGCAGATGCAGGCACACTGTTAACAACATTGTGTTAAAACACATTCCTTGGAGGGAAAAAAGGGATTTTAAGTCAACCATTTTTTCAGCAGATTTATTTAGTCTGGTTTTAAGTAGCCTGTCAGAAATTTAATACATATCAAATGGGTCACATGTGTAATGAATCTTCAAATCAAAATTTAACAAAAACTTTGAAATGAATTATAGCGAAAGAATTAAAGACAGTGTTTCCTCTGTTCACAAACTCTGCCTTTCTTAGAGACCAGCCCATACATTTTTGTATTCAATCCTGAAATACTAAGGCTTGAAAATCTCTCATGAGCCAGAGCCCGTGGCTTAAAAACAGACCCGCTTAAACCTCACACAACCAGAGACACTCTGCCAGAAGGATTAATATGTATTTTGCTCTGAAAAAAAAAAAAAAATCCAGAAGCACAAACCTTGCTGGTAGCGGAGGGTCAGCCTTGCCGGCCACCAGCCAGGAGGACCGGTGGTAGGCGTAGCGATACCTCTTGTTGTCCACGGGGACGATGTCCATTAGGACTATGTATTTGGCCTCAGGATCCACTCCCGAAAACGACACCCGGATGGTAGGAAACATCCTCCTGACAGAGAGGCAGACAACCAGCCTGGTTCACATTTGCTAAGGAACTGACCCAAACTAAGGAGGGAGAGAAAGGATTGGTTTCCCCCCTTCATCCAGCCCAGAAACTTCCCTTTGGTTTCCCCTAAAGCCGCAGGGATGGAAATAGACCTGACTTCCCCCAAAGAATAGTTTTAAGTGGATGCTCATTGCTCCATTAAAGTTTTGTGCTTTTTATCATTTTTTTTCCAACATCGAAAAAAAAAAAAAAACACATAAGGGAAAACCCTATGTGTTTTCATTATCAAACACATCAGGTTCTGGAAAATCCCCAGAGTTGACCCGGTGGTGCAACCCACCCAAAGTCGGGCGGGGGCGGGGGAAGTCGAGAGCCAGGACTCGCCCAGTAAATTTTGGAGACCCTGGTGTATTGATGACGCAGGGTCCTGAGAGCTGCAGCGAGCTGGAGACACGAATCCTGTTTTCTTTCTAGGGTCCTCTGCACCCTAGCGGCTTCATGGAGGCAGCAAGCCCGCCTGGCTGCGGCGCCAAGGGGCCACCGCCCCAGCTCCTTCCTACCGGAAATTTTCTCTCTCGAATTTTATTCTTTTGTCTAGGTTTTCATTTTAGTTTCTAATGGGAGCTTGGTAGCTTCTGCAAATCCAGGATGATAAAAGGGAGTCTAACCCCTCCCTTGCAGCAGAACCCAGTCGCCCACCCAGGTCTCCCTCCAGATGCTGATCCAGCACCCCAAAGCTTCAGGGTGCAGGAGCAAAGACTGTACCTTGGGGGAAGGGGGCGGTGGGCAGAACGGTCACTAGCCCTTGTGCCCTTCTCATCATAGCCCTGCTGAGGCTTCACCCAGCCAGATGGTCCAAACGTGAGCTTGAGTTCCCACAGGTCTTTCCAAATGCAAGTTGGTGGGAAGCTGCGGTCTGTGAGCGCAGTTGCCTCTGTGCTCCAAGACCAGCCAGCCCTCACCTCTTCCAGAAGCCCTAAGAACTCGGGCACCTCCTCCTTTACCCACCCCTACCCGCCAAGGCCCCAGCTACCTGCCCGACTTAGTGATGATCATCTCAGTGCCTAGCTCATGGAATTTGTCCCACAGTTCCTTGGTTTCCAGGCTGCAGGCGATTTTGGCCATTTCTTCGCTGGGGATGATGGGGGTGGTGGGGATCAAGGGTTCTGTGCACAGAGAGGAGGAGGATGGGCTGCTGCTGCCTCCACCCCTGAACTCCCCGTGAGCATCCAGGCTGGTCAGTTCGCCCAGGGGCTGGGGACAGGACGACTTCTCCACAAATTGTTCTGGAGGCAAAGAAAATGGAGAAAGACTGTCAAACAGAAAGATTCAGGAAGAACAGCATGTTGAAATAGACACCTGAATTTGATTCTGTGAAAGGTAAGTTTAGAAACTCCACCTCTAGGGAGGACCTATACTGTACAAAATGTACCTGGGTTCCCCCATGGAGAGACTTACTAAGTGCCTGCTTACTACACCAAATGAGGGAGTTTAAGAACCATGGCTTGTTATCAATATTAAAGCCACCTGCTTTGTGAAATAAAAATGTGAGCAATGACGAAGAGAAAAGCTGTGGTTATGAAGGATAACATGCAAATATTCCTATGGTTATCCCTCCAAAATCTTTACTAGTTCCACTTCTTTGACAAACACAACACTTTTCTCTATGGAGACCAAGGGAGTGAAGAGATCAATCAATACCTTCCCATGTTAAGAGGAATTTTCCTCTCCTTCCCACAACCCTCTTCTCCATAAAAGAAAAAGAAAAGAAGACAGGAATGGGAGAAAGCTGTGGATGTGATATAACAGCAGTAGATGAGGTGGAGCAGTCACTTCATTTCTGTGCCTGGCTGTTCATTTTTTACACTTTTGGAGCCTATACTCCCTCCCAACATGGAATCTTTTGCAAAACCACAGCATACAGCTTGCTAAATCTGGTAGCAGGCTCTCTGGACTATTTTTTGGAATAGGTGATAGATGCAATTTTTTTTCTCTCTCCCAGAAAGGTCCTGGAAATGAGAACTTCAACCCCAGGCTAGCAGGAATTAGAGTGGAAAGAGTGTTTTGCCACCCACCATCAGGTTGGAATACCACTGCCAATGAACCAAGCATTCACGTACCCTGCTGATAAGGGCTAGGACTCCACTAGTCCGTTTCATGGGACAGAGGAACTTGTGTTAACTGTCCCAAATACCTTCCATCCCTTTAAAAAAGAAACTACTTGAATTTGCAATGTGAAGCTGATCTCCAAACAACTTTATTCCAAGTGTCCACAAGGAAAGCAAGCCAGTTCTAAATGTGTGTGTTTGTGATGTATGTGTGTATGTGTGACCTGTTTATATTATAAAATGTTTTGTTATTTCTTATTCTTCTTGATGTGGGGCAAGCAGAAAATAATGAAGTTTTACTGTTTCTTTTCATACAATGATAATTCAAATAATGGAAATGTTTTAAATTAAGAATAATCAAATCTAACTGTCATGCTAATTGTTTCAAAATCAAAAAGGGGGCCAGACAATTACAAAATTTTATTTTCTTATAATGTTTTCAGTCACATTCACATGTCTTTGAAAGGACTTAGGAAGTGACCAACAACTGATAGACAACCCCTTATGTCCCAGATTAACCAGTGCATCAAAGCTGAGAAAAAGAAATACAAATGGTTCTTTTAAATAGCTATGTTTAACCAGGCAAGCATGGGACAAATTAGATCCCTCTTTCAAAGTTTGCTTCAACAAAGATACTATGTTGGCTCTTAACAGTAAGTCCAGGTGCTTCTTGTTGCAGTCCTTGCTTATAGTCAGTCATTCACCCTCACTGGGCTCCATAGGACTGGTCAGTCAGTGTAAGGGAAGAGAGCACCTGCTAGTTCTTTCAAGGACCTTTTCAAAAGCCAGGAGAAGGATGCTCATTTTGTAGGTTAGATGGGGACAGGTGATGGTGCAGCATAGCTGAGAGATGGGAATACCTTTATAGTTTAGAATTTAGAAATGTAGATGGAAGGTGAGTTTTCTCAGAAAAATAAACACATAAAGAACTAATGTAGAAACCACAATGAGGGCAGACTGGCATGTTTCCCAATCCACAGCACACATATCTGTCAGGAATTTTAACCCCAAATCCTCTTTTCCTTCTAGGTACCAAAACGAGATGAAAGTGTTCATAAAGAACAAGAGAAAACAATTCAGGGGCCTCCTAAATAAGAGCAGATCATTTCGGAAGTCTCACATATATAACGTTGAATGAGTATAGTTGTTTTGTTTTTTCCCTAAACAATTGTGGTTTGATGACTTGCCCTAGTTTCTTTGACAGGTATAGATTTCCTTGGAAGGTAGGTGAGAAGAACCAGGGAGGGGGGGACAAAGCCCTCAGGAGACAGCCTTTTTGATATTTGGTTTTCTGAGGATCTTCCTGTTCCTTTTCCTTGTTCCACGTTGCTTTACGATTTTAGTTCTCTTTTCTCTGCCCATGCAGAAAATATTTTTCATCTCTAATATTTCCTCTTTCATATTAATACTATTCTGGATGTGATGGTTTAAAGATTTTGGGCAGGAAGCCAAGAGGAAAGGAAAACTAGGGGAGGTTAAAAAAAAACGGAAAATTACCTTAAGTTTGCTGTATGATAATTGTCATTGTTTGAGGAACATCAAATGATCAGGATGTGTAATAATCATTTCTGAGGAACAAGAGTGGACGATGAGAACATAACCTTCTCCTTCATTTGGAAAGGGATTTTTAAATATTTTAAACACGCAATTCACTCATACTAAGGAGAACATAATCGCTATTCTCCCTTTATAAATAAGCCTTGCGTCTTCTATAAATAGCAAAGATTGTTAAATAAACAATAAAACTAAAAGTTGAGGAATTTAGGAAATGGTTACCAGCCAATGCTTTTGCCAACCTTATCGACGACAATTATAAAATGGATTTTACTGGTAAGTCTGGAGCTGTTGTGAAGGAAATGACTCCTGGTGGGGGGAGAAGCGCCTTAATTCTATAGCACTTTTCAATGGTGTTCAGACTACTCAAGTCACAGGAAAACAAAATTAAACTTGATTTTTTGTAAAGTCGCGCTCCGTAGTTTCGAAAGCAGAAGTAGGTATTTATTACACGCGCCAAAAATCCTGTTGTCTTAAAGGGGTTTAGTTTTTGCCCTTGATTTTTATTTTATCCCAACAAATTTACACACACACACACACACACACACATCCACTGATAGCAGGCAAGGAAGAGCAACTGACTTGAACAGGAGACTCAATACCTGATCCCCGTGGTGTTTAACAGACTCTGAAGCCCCCCAAAAAACGTGGGCCATGAAGGAAAAAAAACAAAAACAAAAAGAACTCCCTCCCAATATTTGGCTTATGGCCTGGGAGACAGAAAAGCCGCGAGCCAGGAAAACTCACTGCTCTCCCGGTCAGCCTTGAAGCCGCCCGGGGCCAGGGGACAGAGGGACAGACATAGGGATGGAAACAGATGCGCAGCACTCGCATCTCCGTCTTCCCCCGACAGTCAGGCAGCCGGACTTACCCAGGGGTTTGATGGTGTTCTCCGCCGCGTCCTTCTCCTTGGAGCCGCCGCTCGACATGAGCGCGGCGATGGAGAAAGCGTTGGCCCGAGAGGACAGCTGGGGCTTGGGCGACGCTGTAAACTCCATGGCCCCCAGCGCGCGGTCCTGATCAGGGACAGGGCCTGCCGAACTGCCGTCCAGTTTCCCCAAGGGAGATAAAAACCCGAAACACAGCGCAAAGTTCCCAAGTGCAGTCACTGCGGAGTCGGGACTCCAGTAGAGTCAGCCCCAACCTCCCCAGAGCTCCACACTGGCCTCGGCTCGCCCCTACCGCAAAGCCCGGGAACCGCAGAGACTTGGAACCAGAGGGAGAAGAAGGGAGAGGACCCAAGGACCCAAGAAGGTGCGTGAGCCTGGAGAAGCGCGGCAGGACCACCGGCTGCCCAAGACCCGGAATCCGCATCAACCGCGCAAGGCTGAGAGTTCACGGCCCTCCTCCGAGTTCTTCCTCCCTCCCCCTCCTGGGGACAGCCCGAGCGGCCCAGGCTGCCGGGAGGTGGCAACCTGCCGTGCGCCACTGCGAGGGTGCGGGCACCTGGGAGCCAGATCGCTGGGGTGCAGAGAGCGGCGAGGCGCGACCGACACTGCTCCCGGGCACTCGCTGCCCTGCGCCTTAATTTGCTGGCAGTGGCGGTCCCGGAGGCCCGCAGCCAGTCAGAGCCGTCTCACGTCACCGCTTCCTGAGTGTGCCGCCGGGGGCGGGGCCGCGGGCCGGGCGGGGAGGGCGCGCCCAGGGCGCGGCGCCCTCGTGGCGGTGAGCTCGGGCGGGCCCGAAGCCTGACACCCGTTCACCGTAATTGGTGCCACCATCAGGGTGTGGGTGCCCCCACCGACACCCGCTCCTGGCCTCGCCGTCCTGGGGCGGGAAGGCCCGGGCGCACTGTATGGAGAGCGCGCTTATCGCGGCCCGGGACCTGGGATCCGGGCGTGGCGCAATTAGGGAACCTAAACCTGAAGAGGCCTCGGGGAGTTCTAGCTTCTTCGTTCTTTCTGTTACTGGCGCTCCAAGTTCCTACAGAAGTTGCTGAGAAGTGCTAAATAGAGCGGAAACCCATGCCACCAAGCTGACGCTAGCCGTCCAGGTCTCAAATTCTACAGGGCTCCCAGGCTAAGACCCCCCCACAAATTCTATCTCCTTGACAATGGGACTGGGGAAACACAGCCCTGAAAAAGAAATTCTATGGAGAAGGATGCTGCTCTTTAAAACCAGTTTCTAGACTGGGGTATCTATTCCTGACAGGGACTCTATAAAGTGGGGAGACCGTCTAAGGGAAGTTCGGGGTGAGGGCGCGCGCAGCCCGGCCGGGGCCACAGGACATGTAGCGGGAGAGTGTGACCTTTATAGCGTGCTGGCCTAGCGGACTCCGAACCTTCAGCCTTTGCAAACTCCGCTGTGGCCAAGACTTCCCACGGCCTTGTGGGGGGCGTCCAGTGGCCTTGCTCAGTCCGAATAACTTAAATTCTCCGAATTCGCAGGGTAATCCGCTTCGCTCAGAGCCGTGTAAACTCAGGCTGACACACACACTCAGGCTATACATGTAAATATTTGCTCTCCTCTCCAGTCAGTTGGTCTGGCGATTAGGAGCCTCTGGATAGATCTTTTTAAAAAATGACAGACAAACAGCTTCTATTTCCAGCTCCCCCCCTCAACTCCTGAAATAAAGTTATGGGAGAAAACTGAAAGTCAAAATAGCTGTTGAGAGCATTCATGTAAAACAAAACGATGACATTGGGGAGAGTTCAATGGACTGTCTGGGCCATCCAGTGTGCTGATACTTTCTAACAAAGTGCTGCATGAAGGTGACTAACATGCTTTTTCTGATATCTCTACCTATGTTCAAAATATCTATATGTCAGTGAGAGGAAATTCATAAAACTATACACTTTCCTGCTGGAAAGGGGTTTACACCATTGTCTAGCTGGTCTCCATGTGCTTTTTTCCCCAAATAAGATTATTCTTATTGCATAAAATAATGAGTTTCATTGTGACATTTTCATACATTACAACCCGTTTCCTTTTAAGAGAATAAAAACTAACAGGGCTTAGTGGAGCAGCTCATCTCCCCTCCAGTTCATCCCACTGCCTAGCTTTGGACTCCCACTCCAGGCCCTGGAGTTTCTGTAGCAGAGCCAACTCCTGCTGTGAGGATTTCAAGCCTTCAGATTAACCCATAGTTAAGAACAGAGGCTAAACCTAGGTGCATCTGAGAATCAGTTTCCATTCTTGAAGCTTTTGCTAGTTTTGGACAACCCAGACCTAATCTGAAGCCTTTTGGTCTTAAAGCCACACCTTCCCACATACAACATATTGTATTTCCTTCTTTTGAAAGTAATGTGCCCAGGGATTTCTTTCCTGCTTCAAATGCTTAGGGTTTGTCAGGGAAGGAGGATTTCCCTCAGTAAATGGGTGTGGTTTGGGTGGAAGGTGGGGGGGGGGTTAGATCTTGACATATACTTCAACAGAATGTCACATATTTTGGTCACTGAACTTAGTTTTCAATAACTTGCCATGGAATTAAACTTGAATTTTTGGAAAGCTTGCCATTGCATGTCATGTAGAGGGGAAAAAGTGTCTTTTCTTAATTATCTTAATGGTTCAGACTGAAGGTTGAATGATATCGCCAGAGGGATATTTTAAGAAAAACTGATGGAGCAGGGGAAAACTGACTGCCACAGATCAGTTTCCATCTAATTTCCAAGTGCCTATGGGACTCCTTTGGGCAGTAAATCCCAAGTGAACATCCTAGTAAAGGTAACATACAAACAAGAAAGGCTAATCCACCAGGAGGAGGCAGGTGGTAAGCCAGAAGAATCGGAAAAGGCCATTTGAAACAAATCCTAGTGCCAGAGGTGAGCCATTTGGGTGTCCCTAAGCTATGCATCTTGCTGGTGTTGAAACCACAGCAGTAAAACATATGCTGCAACATTATTATCAGGAGCACACTGTCCCTCCTCTTAGATTTATTGCCTTTGAAAATCAATGTGGTGCTATTTAAAAAAAAAATGGTGCACTGCAGAGAGATACTGTCAAAGTTCTCTTCCAAGGAGAGTGCCTAGTTCTGAGGTCTCTTCAAAACCCTAAGGTAAGGATTAACAGGTGAAACCACCCTGGAGTTTGGAAAAAAGCAATCGCACTAACCCGTTCCTTCCATTCCTTAGACCCTTTCCTGGTTGATGACCTGCAGCAGGGGTTGCTTTGGAATACAGGTATGCATTGGACTTGGAAAGGGCTTTGAATCCTGACGTTAACACGCATTAACGCTCTGGTTTTATAGGTTCCCTAAATCTTCCAAAGTTTCAGTTTCGTCATCTATATTAATTCACTCCTACCTGGTAGTGAATAAGAAAATGTGTAACGTGCACAAAGTAACCCATAAGTAACACCAAAGTTACCCCTGTATCCGTAAAACATAATACAGGATTTTAATCATTATATTTAATTTTTGAACTGCATTTGGTTTTTTTCTTTGTTTGTTTTGGTTTTTGGCAGCACTGGGGTTTAAACTCGGGCCTCACACTTGCTAGGCAGTCTCTCTTACCGCTTGAGGCAATCCTCCCGCCCTTGAACTGCAAATTCTTGATCGCAGAGACGTTCCTTGTGAGCCGCTGTACAACTGTGTAGTTTTGGAATGTGTGCAGAAGGAATTGGGACCACGTGGTGATATTGGACTTGTTAAACGTTTAACCTAGGAATGTTAAGATTTTGTTATCCGTCTGAGTTTCATTATGTGGAGGATTGGATTGTGTCTTCCAATTCAATTCAGAAGTTTAGTCAGCTCCCTCGGCAGTCCAGAAAGTACTCGGCTTCTCGCTTTTGACTGACGGTCCCTCGCTTTAACGAATGCTATCTCAGAACCCTTTGCCCGGAGCTGCAGAGACCCGATCCCGGTATATCTGACGGACCAAATGCTGGCGCCGGGGGCAAGAGCTGCACCTGGGTGCAGAAAGGAGACCCACTTCTCAGCACCCGGGCAGTTACTCCCGAACGTAGCACCGCCCCCATCCCCCTTCCAGCTTTTTTCTGGTAGACAGTTTTGAAAGCGACAGTAACGGGCCTCTGGTGCCTCTGGTGCCTCTGGATTCATAAATTCTCTTTCCAGAAGAGGAGGATGTCCCAGACTTGTGCAGAGAGTGGCAGCAGCTCTCCCCAGGCAGCCGAGTGCGCCCCAGGCGCCCAGGAGCAGCACGCCGCCCCCGTGCCGGGTGGGAGCGCGCGGCGCGGGATTGCACAGTGAGGCTACCCTGCGGATCTGAGCCTTTTCTCCCAGGAGCGGGGGGTTTAGTCTTGGCTGGGTTAAGTTTTCTGGAACGCAAGTGGGCCCGGGGAAGCAAACTCCTGGATCCCAGCCCTGGTTTCAAGAAGTGACATGGAACACCCAGACCTCTCCAGAGAACCTCGGTGGCCCCTGGGCGTTTCCCCTGGAGGCCACCTTGCCCAGTTCTCTCTTTAAAGCCAAAACAGAAAGTCACCTCCAGGAGTTGTCACCCTGTGGCCCCAGTGATGTGTGTGAGCGCATGCTTGCGGTACTGGACCCCTCATGCGTCCTGCTGTGGAACCAAGGACAGAGCCAAGTCAGTTCTCCTCCATTTCTAGGGTTCTTGTTCTCATGTGGACATGGAATCCAGAACTCCTCTCCTCCCGCCCCTGTACCCTCCTTCTTCCTGGTCCCCAACCCACTCGCGCTCTCTCCTCTCCTCCTCTCCTCTCAGGCCTTGGTTGCCTTCCTGTTTCCAACTGCTTGGTTCATGTCCGCTGCTATTTAAAATTTAGGTATTTTATACATCAGGGTTTTGCGTACGAATTTCGATTTTTAAGATTCTTACATTAAAATGTTTTCTTGTTTACTGACTGTTTAGTTGTTGTTGTTTTGTTCTGATGCCATTCTAAATTTTGGGTTCTCACCCTGTGTCCAGGCCTTAGAATTTGATGGAAACTATCCTGATAATTAACGAGAACTCCAACGCAAATCTGTAGTTTTGAAAGCGTGGCTCTTGCTATTATAGCACGCGCTGGATAATCAAGCAGGAACCCCCACCAGCGGAAGAAAAGTGGGCAAAGGACACGCGGGGGAGTCTTCCGTGAAGGT